CCTTCCCTGGGTCCTATCAGAGTCTCGTGATCATGCCTTTGCTACATGGACCACGTCTCTTGCAAAACCTACTGTCAGCCAACTAGCTCCAATCGCCGCCTCGTCTATCCTGTCTCTATTCCTAATACCAAGTCTGTGACTTGCCATGCCCTAGTTGCTTGTATTCCAAACCACAAATATTATGGTACTGCTGGCTTTAATTAGGTTCAATGTTGATTTTGTTGTAAAATGAGCAAAAAAATAAAAATAATTTCTTTATGCATTTTCTTAATCCTATTCATGACGGTACTTCAATAGATAAGACGCCTTACTAAGAGCTATGCCCTAATATTACGTTATTGGGCGCACATTCAAATGTTAAGCCAGAGTATTTTAGTATGCACAATGCACATTCGGTCCCTAAACCTAGGCTACTAAGTGTCTAATCGGGTAAGCCTTTGTATAAAATTATAAGGAATATGTAGAATCCTACATGCTTAATGCGTCTTATTTTAACAAATTCATGACTGCATTTTTCGAGTTATACTTAATAATGTTAAGAAAAGGAAATCTTTTTGACTAATTTTGCTCATATGTTACTACAAATGGCATCATACAATATAACCGCATCTAAATTTATAGAGCGTCTTCAGTGACAAATTTGCCCATTATGACTATGGAAAGGAATACAACATGTTGCGGTACGGCACTGAATCTCCGCCCTTGTACACATTGGACCGGATTACCATACCTGTGGGCATATATCATGGCGGCCGTGACCTAATGGCAACTTACAAAGACGTCACTCGATTAATGTCTGATCTGGGACCTGTTCCAGTCAAAGATGTCGTTTATTTGCCTTATTATAACCACCTTGACTTCGTATGGGGCCTAAATGTGGCTAGCGAAGTCTATGCCAAAGTGCTGCGCTTTTTCGAAACTGTCATCTCATAGCTATAACGGCATATGTTTGTTCGATATTTTCATTGTTATATACACTTTCCTTGACACCCATGTACTTGCTTGTATTAATATTATAGTTTAGCAGTTAATTAACACTGCAAGGCGAATATTTTTTCATGTGCATGTATAGCTAAATTATTCAGATACGAAAACCTCCTGATCAGCTTTCCTATTTTCATTTAGTTTTATTCAACCAAACGCCGCGTGCGTGCATCCGCACTCACGTGGAAATCTTTCGCTTTCACAACATATGCGTTGGCTAAACTATCGTTGATTTTATTTGATAATTTCTATCCACTTTCGATACATCTCCAAAACTCAAGTGTGTCTTTCTATACTTTTCGATGAGAGTTTGTTGGCTAAATATATTTTCTTTATGAAATAAAGACATTCAAATCTCATTTTTGTTCACAAAATATGCCAAAAGATGTTTAATGCATATCCAGGCCTCTAGCTTTAATCATTATAAATGAAAAGAGACCCAAAACATGTTTGATTCCGAACTTCATTGTCATCTCCAAGCATGAGTAAAGAAAGAGTATGTTTTCTTGGCGCACGTCGAACAATATGAAAGAAAATCTTAAATGAGGTTGTGAAGGGTAGCCTATCCTTTTATTCCTAGAAAATAGGTTTTCGGGACTATTGATAAATCGTGAATTAGAAATCTATAGGTAATCAAGGACTGGTGGTTGAGTTTTTTCGCTGCCTTTTAAACGATATTCTCATTCGGAGTGGGCTGCAGTTTTGGCCCCAATTGGGTCTGACCATCAGACGAAATCGTACCCAGGTATTGCAGCATTCTATATTGACAAATTACCATTACGTCACATTGCTACGAGTGCCTCTGAGCCACAGGGCAGACGTGAATTTAACGAAGAGTTAAGCCTCTTCCGCATGATGTGCGTTGTAAACCATCGCCTTGACATTACAATAAACTAAGTTACTTATTTTTGCTGAGTAGGTCTCGAGATCATCAGTAAATCTTAAATAAGAGTTAGTCACCCTAGGCCACATAAGGCGAAGGTCTGGTAAATGAATTTTCCTACCATTATTCGAATTTGCCCCATTTTCTGTTGCATTTCATTCAATCACGTTACGTGACCTAGGGTCACTAGACCTCTTATTCAAGATTTACTGAATCTGGAAAGCTTGCTTTCTTCGAATATAGGTAACGTGATCGGCTAGTGGCAAAATATAGTCTAATCGAAGATTCTATTAGAAATGTAAGATGGGAGAGGCCTAGCTTGTTTTGGAATTCACTTAGGTCTTGTCGCCAATTGGCATTACTGACAGTGCGGCATAGTGTTAAAATATACAAGTTATGCATTGCCTTATCCGGATTTGGTTTCCACTGAAGGCGAGGTCGAGGCTG